TTCTCGTCGCTCTACAGCTGACAGCATATTGCATCTCTCTGGGGGTCGGCCCTGCTATGAATCATTGAAGGTAAGCCGCTGGGTCCTCCTTTGGGTGTCTGTTCACCAAGGGCTGATACTTCTCGATGCATCTCTTTATGCTTAGCTTTCCTCGTTTTAGTTTTCCCAGTACCGCCATAGCTTGTTCCCTTGCTGAGACGCTATTTGAGCATACACCCGAGCGCATGCACGGAGGTTATCTATATCCGGATTATATATATATATATAATCGCCCAGGAAAAACGGTAAAGTTCCTGATGTATAGCCACTATTGACGTTCCTTCTGAAGCTAATAATGCTGGCTGCAACTTACTTCTTGAGGTATATTCTGAAGAGGCTAAGTACAACCCCACAGAAGCAAGGAGCCCGTCTGCCTTCGCACCAGCGAGCAGATCATGCCTGGGCAGCGGCTAAAGACGGAGGCATTCTTCATGAATTCATTTCTCCTGAAAGGCACTTTCCGATAGATTAATGCTCTCCTTATTAAAATGAGACGGGGCTCCCAGCATTTGGTTATCTTCTCACGGGTGGAGAGCGCTTGATAAATAAAAATAAATAATGTGCAGCAGGAGAACGTCGCCGACTCTCGTGCATATACTTTAGGGAGAATATCTAATGATATCTTCTTTCCTGTTTTTCACAAAGGCCCTTAGCTACTAATCAGGCTTTCGCAAAAGACAGCCCAGTTGTGGGGTTGGCGTTCGTTGCAGGAGCGTTTCTTCATAAACCCTGCTGCGCTGCCAGGTGTACGGAGGTCCCGATCTCATAAGAAGACCGGTGAGCTGCAGCAAATTCAACGAGTTGAGATAAGACTTCCCCCCAAGCAGCTGGCCTAAACTTTATTCTGCATTATTGCTTGGTAGAGCAGGTGAAAGAACTAACAGCAACATGCCTTGCTGCAGCTGCTGTTGCAAGGCGACCCCAAATGCAGCTGTACCCCACATCCCCTTTCGATCCATGCACAGACGCTTTGATCTTCCTGTGAGCATTTTCTTGGTGTTAAGTTGCTATCCATTATGCAAGTAGAGACGGATGCTACAACTCCAGACAAGCAGCAAGCCTACACTCGAGCCTCAGTACAGATGAAGATCTCAGAGAAGAGTTCTACCAAACCAGCTGCCCTCCACTCTTGCCTGCATTGCTGCATGCACCCTGGGCACAGCTACTTAAGAGCATATGATTTATTTGCAAGGGGACCAGAGATGAAGCAAGCAGTCTTCGCTGCAGCTTTTTTTAAAACTGCAAGCGTTAATACAAAGATATGCAGGCCCCGCTTTGATGGGAGCCCTGGCCCTGCATGCAAGTGCTGAGCTCTCTATTTTCTTTCAATTGTCTATTTTGAGTATTATAGAAATAGATAGCTGGTGGTTGTAGAGTGCTCGTGGGTATATGTGTTTATATGGGGGCAGCTTCAGTATAGATTAGCGGCTAGCACACGGCATAATAGTCTTGAATTTAGTTCCTAAATATTATTTAAATGTATTATAATCAATTAAACAAACAAACAAATACAACACACGGCTGCAATAAGCATTTCTTACAGATATGCAGGGCATTGAGGGAGGCTCTGTGCTGGAGGAGGGGCTGTACAGAGACAGTATAGGTAATAGAGAATTAAAATACGTATTTCTTTGAAGATATAGTATATAAATAAATGAATATTATTGTTTTAATATTAAATAAACAAAATATACATTTAAATATACACAAAAAAACCTTAATATTGATGCGGGTCTGAGACTCTGCTGCTTCTCCTTCCTCTCTCTCTCTCTCACCGCCCCGCTGTGCTGTATGAAGAGGTAAGAAGATTTTTCTTGATAAGTTTGAGCTGTTTGTTGTTTGTTTTCGTTCTTTTTTTGTTAGAGGCTTTAGTACGTAGTGTTTATTGCATTTAAATAGGAATAATTTATTTCTGCTGCTGTTCTGCTGGCCAGGAGCAGACAGCTGCTGCTCCTTACCTACCCCACGGCAGCAGCAGCTTGGCTTGTGTTGTTGTTTTTCGTTTCTGTTTTTTGTATTTCTTCTTCTTATTTTAATTTATTTAAATTTATTTAGGGAATTTACTCTGCCTCCTCTTTCAACACGCCGGCCGCGCCCAGCTGCGCCTCTGCAGGTATTGCTAGGGTTTCATCGTTTCCTTTCTTTTTTTTTATTTTTTTTTGTGTTTGTTTGTTTCGTCTGCTTGAGGCTACTCGAAGGCTATCTTTATTTAGCCTTAAAATACGTATTTCTTTGAAGATATAGTATATAAATAAATGAATATTATTGTTTTAATATTAAATAAACAAAATATACATTTAAATATACACAAAAAAACCTTAATATTGATGCGGGTCTGAGACTCTGCTGCTTCTCCTTCCTCTCTCTCTCTCTCACCGCCCCGCTGTGCTGTATGAAGAGGTAAGAAGATTTTTCTTGATAAGTTTGAGCTGTTTGTTGTTTGTTTTCGTTCTTTTTTTGTTAGAGGCTTTAGTACGTAGTGTTTATTGCATTTAAATAGGAATAATTTATTTCTGCTGCTGTTCTGCTGGCCAGGAGCAGACAGCTGCTGCTCCTTACCTACCCCACGGCAGCAGCAGCTTGGCTTGTGTTGTTGTTTTTCGTTTCTGTTTTTTGTATTTCTTCTTCTTATTTTAATTTATTTAAATTTATTTAGGGAATTTACTCTGCCTCCTCTTTCAACACGCCGGCCGCGCCCAGCTGCGCCTCTGCAGGTATTGCTAGGGTTTCATCGTTTCCTTTCTTTTTTTTTATTTTTTTTTTGTGTTTGTTTGTTTCGTCTGCTTGAGGCTACTCGAAGGCTATCTTTATTTAGCCTTCTTATTTGTTTTTCTTGCCTCTGCAGCACAATTGAGCTCCTAGAGTGTCTGCAGTTGATTCCTTTAAAGGCCCACAGCCTCTTATTTTTCTTTTTTTTTTGTCTGTTTATATTTTTAAGAAGCCAAACAGGGAGATAAAATTCCTCTGGCCCGTGTGCTTGCCTTCCCGCATCCGTCTTCTTACTTGGGGTGTATGTACACCTCATCCTATTAGATCATCTTTAATACTTGCCGCACAGCAGCAGCAACAGCAACACCAGCAGCAGCAGCAGCAGCAGTCGTAGTAGTAGTAGCTGTTGCCTCTCCGCCTTCTACTGCAGCAGCAACTGTTGTTGTCGCTGCTCTGAGAAGCTGCTGCTGTTCTAGCGGCAGCCTTTGTGTGCCTTCAAGGCTACAGCAGCCGCTGCTGCAGCAGCAGCCGCTGCTGCTGCTGCTGCAGTAGCTGCACCGCAGCGCAGATCTCCAGCAGCAGCTAAGATTTGGGGTGTATGGCCACCTCGTCTACATCTCGTTTATTTAAATGGATTTGCTTACCGCACAAGAGACGCAGAACTGTCCTATCTCAGGACACAGCTTCGCGATATTTTCCTCCCAGCAGCAGCAGCAGCAGCAGCAGCAACAGGAGGATTACGTTGCAACAGCAAGTGCTGCTCATTTGAGCCCTCAGGGAGAGGCTCCTATTGCTGCTGCTGCTGCTGCTGCCTGTGGCCTGGACGTGCCCGACACCCTGAAAGACTGGTGCGGCATCCCTGTAGCAGCAGCAGCGACAGCAGCAGCAGCAGCAGCAAACGGAGCCAGCGCTTCGGGGGCATCAAGCATGCAGGCTACTGCTGCTAGCCTTTATGCAGGAGGGATAGGTGGGGCTGCTGCTGCAGATGCGCGGCCCCCTCTGTACTTACCGGCTGCTGTTGCTTGCGAGCAGCAGCAGCAGCAGCAGCAGCAGCAGCAACAGATCGCTTTGTCTCCTCCTTTGAACCCTCCGTTCTGCGCCGCTTGTGCGCCTGGGGTCTACGCAAGTTGTTGCAGCAGCAGCAACAGCTGCTGCTGCAGCAGCGGTTGCAGCTGCTGCTGCGCAGCAACCCAGGTAGTCGATACACCGCAACAATCTCCGTCTGTTTCCTTCTCACCCCAGTATCCAGATGGCTACATGTGCATGCAGCAGCAGCAGCAATGCACAGGGCTGCAACAGCCGCAGCAGGGTACGGCGCTGCACAGCAGCACTGTTATCTGCTGCGGCGGCAGCAGCAACAGCAGCCTCCCCCTAAGCGAAGACTTGTGCACTGCTGCGATGTTCTCGGAGAGCCCGCTTCTTATGCAGCAGCAGCAGCAGCAGCAACAGCAACAGCAATACGTTCAAGGGGGGTTGTGCTGCGGCAGCTTCCCTGCAGCCTTTCCAGCTCCTGCTAGCTGCTGCTGCAGCGCTGGAGTGCAGCAGGGTGAGCAGCCGCAGCAGCTGCTGCTGCAGCAGCAGCTGCAGCAGCAGTTACAGCAGCAACAACAGCTGCAACAGCAACAGCAGCTGCAACAGCAACAGCAGCTGCAGCAGCAGCAGCTGCAACAGCAACAACAGATGCAACAGCAGCAGCAGCTGCAACAGCAACAACAGATGCAGCAGCAACAGCAACTGCAGCAGCAACAGCAACTGCAGCAGCAACAGCAACTGCAACAGCAACAACAGCTGCAACAGCAACAGCAGCTGCAACAGCAACAGCAGCTGCAACAGCAACAGCTGCTGCAACAGCAGCAGCAGCAGTGCATGATTGCTCCGTATATGCAAAGAGACTTACCCATGCTGGTTCCGGGCGGTTGCATGCCGACAGAGTGCATGCAGCAGCAGCAGCAGCAGCAGCAGCAATTGCTGCAGCTGCCACCAGCAGGGGAGGGCCTTTGCTGCACCTCCTTGGATAGTGCGCCGCAACCGTTTAGCTGCGTGGATCAGCAGCAGCAGCAGCAGCAGCAGCAGCAGCCGATAGAACTGGGACAGCCACAGTTTGTGCAGCTGCAGCACTGCAGCAGCTTGCTGCAGCAGCAGCAGGAGCAGCAGCTCCCGCTGCAGCGCAGCCTCTCCGATGGCTCTACTGTTTCTTCTTTTTGCCTGCAGGGCGCCTCAGAGGAGACGCCGAGTTGCTGCTTCACAAGCTGCAGCAGCAGCAACTGCAGCAGCTGCTGCAGCAGTTGCAACAGCAGCTGCAACAACAGCAGCAGCAGCAGCAGCGATGGCTTAGGCTGCTTTGAACAGGGACCGACGTATCCGATGAGGTTTGAGGAGACACCTCAAAGCAGCAGCCACACCGACGATTCGCTGCTGCTGCTGCTGCAGCAGCAAGAACAGCAAAAGCAGCACGAGCAGCAGCAGCAGCAGCAACGGGAACAGCAACAGCAGCAGCAACAGCAACAGCAGCAGGAACAGAAGCAGCAGCAAGAACAGAAGCAACAGCAAGAGCAGCAGCAGCAAGGAAGGCCGTTATACTGGCCTGGTTTTGAAATGTCTGTAGAAAAACCGACGCAGCAGCCTGCTGCAGCAACAGCAACAGCAACAGCAACAGCAACAGCAGCAGCAGCAGCAGCACCCGCGGAGACGAAGAAGGAGCTCTTGCCTCCTACTAAGCCGACAGCAGCAGCAGAGACAGAGGCTCCAGCGGCCAGTGCCGGACCTGCAGCAGCAGCAACAGTAACAGCAACAGCAACAGCAACAGCAGCAGCAACAGCAGCAGCAGCAGCAGGGGGAGTAGCAGCTAGGCGACCGAAGCTGGCGCCGTCTTCGCGGGGGGGAAGGCCAGCAGCAACAGCAAGATCAGCAGCAAGATCAGCAGCAAAAGCTGCAGCAAAAGCTGCTGCAGCAGCTCGCCGTAGGAACATGTGTATAGTGCCGGTGGTAGGCGTAGGGGGTTTGTTATGTCTGCCTGCTCGGGGAGGGAAGAACAGCAGCAGCAGCAGCAGCAGCAACAGCAGCAGCAGCAGCACGCAGTGGCACTTTGGCTTCCGATATCCACTGGGAAAAGAAGGACGAGCTGAGCTTATCAAACGCATGCGGGCTGTACACAGACAGGTAATCTAGCTGCTGCTGTTGCTGCTGCTGCTGCAGTTGTTGCTGCTGCTACGGTCGTTGCTGCTGCTGCTGCTGCTGCTGTTGCTGCTTTAGCGACTACTGCAGCTGCTGCTCTGCTGTTGCTGCTGTAGCTGATTCAAGTGGTATATATGAGTGTGTTGCGGTTTGCTATTGCGTTTTGTTTGCTTTTTTTTTAATTTGTCTCCCTCAGCATCTTTTGTTTATTTGTTGTTTTATCAATATTAACCCGCCTGTTCTTCACGTTGCTCTTACATGTGTTTCTGCTGCTGCTGCTGCTGTTGCTGCTGCAGCACAAGGAGTTTTGCAGCGCTACATTAGGTGCACTAGGGATATCTTTTCGTCGTCTGTCGCATGCACGAGTTGAAGAGCTCTGGCAGATCGCCTACCAGTGGGGTTTGTTTGCATTTGGCTTGAGGGTTTCAAGAAGAAGTGCTCCTTGGTCAGGACCTCATCATCATCCGCTGCAGCAGCAGCAGCAGCAGCAGCAAGAGCAGCAGCAGCAGCAGCAAGAGCAGCAGCGAGAGGTCGGGAATTGCACTCAAACAGCATGCAGTACAAGGGGAGCCGGTGTATATCCTGCTGCTGGTGCTGCTGGGGTTGATGATGAAGCAGCAGCAGATGCTGCTGCTGGGGTTGATGAAGCAGCAGCAGATGCTGCTGCTGCTGTTGTAGAGGAAGCAGGTGTTGGTGCTGTTGCAGGGAGCAGTGGTGCTGCAGCAGAAGCAGAAGAAGAATCACGTGTTGCTGCCGCAACAGCAGCGGAAGCAACAGAAGCAGCAGAAACAAGCATTGTTGCTGCTGCTGCAGCAGCAGCCATAGCAGGTGGTGCAGAGGCTGTTGCTGTTGTATGAACAACAGGTGGGTGTTTAGTTTGTCTTGAGGTGTACATACACCGCATCTGTTACATCTTTTTGCATTTTTCTTTCGTTTTTTTGCTCAATATTATTATATTATATTATCGGCATCGTTCAGAAGCAAAACAGATAACAGCGGCGCGGGTATTACTCCTATGCACTATATATATATATATATTATATATATATTATAAAGAGGTTTATTTGCATGCTGGGGGAGCCTCTGCATGCAAAGCCCTTATATCTTTTGAAGTGCATAGAGAGGGTTTGTAGGGATATTACTGCTGCTGCTGCTGCTGTTTTCTTTCTTACAGTTGGGTTTATGTTGAGGTTTTTGTCTATCTCTTCTTGTGTTTGTTGAGGAGGAGAACAGCTGTTAATACAGCTGGTATTTATTTATATATATGTATATTTATATATATTTATATATTTATATATATTTATATATTCAAATATATTTATATATATTTATTTATATTTACCTCTAGGCTTTTGGGGCTACACTGCATGCATGCATTTATTTTTGCTGCCTTTATTAGTGTTTGTTTGCGCGTGCATGCATGCATCTGCCGATAAAAGGAGACTGTTTGTCTGTCTCCTTCGTAGTCTTTCTTATTATTATTATATTTGTATTTGTTTGTGCGTGTCTGTCCCCGTGGATGAAGACGGTGCTGTGGTTCTTGCTTTATTTATTATTTAATTAAAATAAATAAATTAAAGCAGGGGAGGCATCAGTCATGCAAAAGGCATGCAGATGATGACCCTCTTGTGCGGGGTGTCGTCCTTTAATATTTGATACTTTTTTGATTTAGTGTTTGTGTTGTGGGCTTAGGGTTTAGGGTTTAGGGTTTAGGCGGGGCATGTATACTTACTTGCATGGGGTGCGTACACCTTGGCGAGTGCTTGCCTCGAGTAAAGACGTCATGTAATATTTATGTGTATGTATATTTATTTATTTATATATATGTATGTGTATATACATATACATATATATATATATATATATATATTTGTATGTGTGTCTGTGTATATGTATTTGTATATACGAGGTATATATACTATTTTCATATTTGCTTGTGCATACATTACGCTGTGCATGCAAGTTTAAACAGGCCGAAATATATTTAAATTACTGTAGTATGAATGACGCAGCAATTGCGTTATAGATCCTGCATGCATGCATGCGTATAGCGGAGGTGGCGAAGATGTTTTGGGGCTTTGATAGGGGCCTCATAGACTCGTTCGCTTTTAATAAAATAACGACCCATCGTTTTTGTTGCTGCTGCTGCTGCTGCTGCTGTTGCTGTTGCTGCTGCTGCTGTTGCTGCTGCGGCTATTGTAGCTGCTGTTGCTGTTGCTTAAAGGGTTTGGCTGCTATAGTTATAGTCGGAGGAGTTGTGCGCAGCAAACTGCAGATGTAGAAGATTGCTTCAGCTTATAGAGGGTTTTTGTCTAATAACGATGAACAGACGGCCGCAGGAGTGTGCAGAAGTATGTATATATGTATATACATACATACACATGTATATATATATATTATATGTGTATATAATATATATATATTATATATATAATATATAATATATATATATATATATATATGTATTACCGATATCAGTTAATTGCATAGAGAGGCGCCAGTCGCAAGCAAGGTTGGAAGGCAGTTAAGAAAGAGTGCATGCATTTATAATGCATGCACATAAACTATTTAATTAATTAATTAATTAATTAATTAATTAATTAATTAATGCGCAAAGACCAATTAATTATCATTAATGAAAGTTTGTGGTGTATAGGGAAGGTCGAAGGAGGATATCGCAAACAGCGTTATTATGCAGAGCTTATTATTGCTGTCTAAGAACAGCTATATACACATATATATACATATATATATACATATATATATATATATATATATATATATGTATACATATGTATATGTGTATGCTATTGAGACGCTTGATTTCATCTTTCATACTGCAGAAGCAACTGTTTCTTATGGCTGCTGACTGCAGCAGCCGTAAGTAAACGTTTAGGGTTTAGGGTTTAGGGTTTAGGGTTTAGGGTTTAGGGTTTAGGGTTGTGTCTCGCTTGACTAGCCAAATCAACACTCTGCTGGAGAGCTGCATGCAGATGCAGAGACACACACATTCATAAATAAGCCTTCTAACAAATATATATATATATATATATATGCAGCGGCATTCATAAATGACCCTACTAGTATATATATATATATATATATATATATATAT